ATAAATATCATGAAATACAATAATTAAAGTAAATTTAATTAAGCTTCATACTCTCTCTAGTAATTTATTTAAACTATTAAATGACTATAGGTAATCACACATTTTTTTGAAACACTATTGTTAAAGCGAATCGAATTAAATTTCATTCTCACTCTGGTAATTTATTTGAACATTGATTAATCAATTTTTTGAAGCACAATCATTAAAGTGAATAAATTAAACTTTGTACTTACCCTTGTAATTTATTTGAACAATTGAATAATTACGGTTAATTAATGTCTTGAAATACAATTGTTAAAGTGAATTGAACTAAACTTCATTCTTACTCTGGTAATTTATTTGAACGATTGAATGATTGCGGTTAATCTATTTCTTGAAATACAATCATTAAAGCAAATTGAATTAAATTTCATACTCACCCTGGTACTTTATTTAATGATTTAATAATTACAGTTAATCAATATCTTGAAACACATTCATGAAAGCGAACTGAATTAAACTTATACTCACCCTGGTAATTTATTTCTATGATTGAATGATTACGGCTAATCAATGTCTTGAAACATATTCGTTAAAGCAAATCAAACTAAACCTCGTACTCACCCTGATAATTTTTTTTGAACGATTGAATAATTACAGTTAATCAATGTCTTGAAACATATTCGTTAAAGCAAATCAAATTAAACTTATACTCACCCTGGTAATTTATTTGAACAATTAATAAAGATTCATAGTATTGCATTCGATAGATAGAATACCAAGCGTATCTAAAAAAAAAAAAAATACAGTTTTAAATTTAAAACACACCTAATTTCTAAAGCACTATTTAAAATAATGATAAAAATATTAAAATTATAATTTTCATGATAAATTAATTTTTTGCTAATTAAAATTATTTAAATATACCTAACTAAAAATACAAGCAATGTGACAATAGCATATTATACTAACAAAAATAAGCAACATGTACCATAAAAACTTAACTTAATGAACGCAAAATTTAAAATAGAAAATAAAAAATGCACCTCTATGAAGAGTTTATGATATATTTAGCAAATATGTAAAATCATTATTCCTATTAAGGTAATTGATAATCAGGTATATCGGAATAAATTATTTTATTTATATGCAAAGGAGATCGATTTTAAGAATTTTATAAAAATGCCGCAGCAATTATTTTAGATAACATGATCATTTCTCCAAAGGTTTCAATTGATAAAAACATAAAGCAAGATTATATTGATAATAAAGAAAAAAATAAAAGAAAAAAAGGAGTTGGAAAATAAATGCATTAATTTTACTAGATAAATTTACCACAAGATAGGCTCTTTTTTTGATTTTTGATTTTTTTTTTTGCATAAGTATTTATCTTAAGCGATATAAAAAAATAATATAATAAATAAATTAATAAAAAATAAAAAAAATTAAAGAAAAAAATTTTTTACGGCTAAAAAAAAATTTAAATCTATTAGAAAATTTGAAAAATTATTTGTGCTTAAATAAATATAATATAGACTAAATTTTCTTGCGTAAAACCAATATCACAAGTATACATGTGACGTTTCAAAAATTATAAATACAACCCAAGTACGATAAAAATTTTTTGGGGGCATGATCATATCTAGCTCATATCTAGCACATATTGCGCATATAGCGCATATAGTATATATAAGCTTAAGCTTAAGAAATATAAGATTTTTTGTCAAAAATCTTTTCTGCTTTAGTCTAAAAGGAAATGTGGCTGATCACGAGCAAGAGCGCATCCAATAAATGGAACACCCACTGCTAATCTTTAACTTTATTAGAAGTGATTTTCTGCATGCCGACGAAAAAAGCTAAGAGAGGGTTAATTTATAGTCTATATGTAGCTATACTATCAAATATAGTTTTTTATAAGAAAATTTTGTAGCTATTAATATTTGAGTTAGAGTTAGATTAATGTTAAATTAGGGTTAAGTTAGGGTTTGGTTAGGGTTAGGTTAGGGTTTAGTTAGGGTTAGGTTAGGGTTTAGTTAGGGTTAGGTTAGGGTTTAGTTAGAGTTAGGTTAGGGTTTAGTTAGGGTTAAATTAGGGATTAGGTTAAAATTGTGAGAGAAACATTTTTACTTAATTAGATTACTTTAAAAATTTTGAGTTATTAACTATAGCTACAGATTTTTTAAAAAGCATAATTAATATTATACTTAATTATGCATTCTGATTGGTTAACTAGGGTTTCAGGGTTTCAGATTATAGTTTCGGGAGTTTCGGGCTTCGGGGTTTCGGTTTTTTTTTTTGAAAATCTGAAACTAGTTTCGGGTAGGTTTCGTTTCGAGTCCAACTCTAATCTGATCTTGAAGATTGGTCACAAGGAAATTTTCAGATCTTAGGAACTACTTTACAGAATTGTTTACCACTTATACGTTATTTTCAGATGTCAGCAGATGACATTATCGATAATGTAGAACCATATAAACGTATTCTCGAAAAAAAATCTTTGGAAAGATATAAAAAAGCGATTTATGTCACTAAATAGACCAATTACATCAACAATACTTCCACCACGTTTAATTCAACACCAAACTTACCATCACGAGAATTATTTTCAACAATTATTAGTGATGCGCATGCAGCAAAAATTGCTTCATGGATTGATAAGAAAGATGATACATATTCAATTGAAAATAATCCATATGATTTTAATTGCTACTTCATAAAAGAGAATTTATCGCTGACTCATTTTGGAATTTATGTGATAAAAAGAAAAACGTAATTGTAGCCATAAAGGTTATGAAATACTTGGTGGATATAATCCTATTGGTTGGAAGAAATTGGAAAACGGAAAATATAGTAGTTGTAATGAGTGTTTTATTTTTTCGTTAAATAATGTTACTTTACAAAATTCTATTTTAATTCATGTAAAAAACCCAGAATATGCGATTTATAATTATACAGGCTATGGGCCGTGTTTTGGTGGTATTCAACGTGGCGATTTGATCTTGTTATGAAAAAAAACAACCCATGTTATTGCAATCATAACTCATATGTAAAAGCAATTAGAAATGTTCCTGTAAACCGACACGGCAATGGAATTTTTTCAGTGGAAGAGTATGAAATATTCCAAATTCAAAAAAAAACTAACAATTTCTGCTCATCATATAATATTATGAAATGTTCATATTTAGTTTGATTATTAAAGCAAGTAAAGAACTTTAATTGGTTATAATAGGAATTCTTTATTTATATACGGTTTGTTTCTAATGCTATAATATATGACATTTAAGGATGTCTCGATTTAGAATTAGCGTTAGTATGAATTAGATTTTTGGAAAGTCATTGTACAATAAACGTCTTTATTTTGTAATAAATTAGCGGTTTTTATCATTTGAGCAGAAAAACAGGGATTATGTAAAATAAATAGACCCTGATTTCAAAGGGCATTGATGAAGTTCCATACGTAGGTACTTAATTTCGATGTAAATACTAAGTTGGTCGCTCTTTTATTAAGACCTGATCATATCCTCGTAAAAAGGGTGGAGAAACCACATGTACAGAAATAAATAATACTGTATTATCAAATCGCTTAACTAGATTTACGATCCCTGGATTAACTTCAAAACTACTCTTGAATTATTCCAATGTCTGTAAAAGGTTTAATCTTTGTTGTGCTGAAACCAGCTTTAATCCACCCTACATATTAGTAAATATATTGTTAAATTCCATAATGTATTATTAAATGACCTTTTATTCAATAATAGCACTGGTTTTCACTAATATTTAGGATAGTTAATTAATTAAATTTTATTTATTTTTCTTTTTGTAAAAACTTTGCAATGAGTAAAATCATTATTAAAAGCAAATTTATATAAAATTAATTTAGAAATCGAGCTCTATATTGTAACCATCGTAAGAGAGAGCTTGGTATTGTCATGCCAAGTTTAACTCCGATGGTTGACATTAGAAGGTTCACATGAATTGGGCGATAAATTATGATATTTGGATATTCATGATCTATTAGGCATTAATTATAAAAAAAAGTGTAAATATATGTGACCTTTATTTGTTGAGGAATTTTGGAGAGCGAATGTTCTCCTCAACTAAGGATGAAGATACACTCTTATATACATTCTAATTTTACAGATGGTCAACATCAGGATCTCAGCGCTTATGCTGTAGATTCCATATTTGCCCAAGGCGCAATGATCACAAGTTTATGCAAGCACATATTAACGTAAATGCTCTGGCATGAAATAATCTACCAAGAATACATAATAATGCCTAATACTACTAGGGTAAGATTAACATGACGATGATGGTACAATTATGGAAGGCGAGTGACCGTGACGGCTTAAAGAATTAAACAAATACGAAAGTGAGGAGACACAGGAAAAATTAACCGTTACAATATATATCGTGTATTAAATATGTTTGCGATTTATTAAAATGGGGTTATCACAAATCAATAAAGACATTGGGACACTTGAAGAACAAGTACTCCCGTGATATATTCATGATAATCACATCACGTGAGATCACACAATTACGTCATTTGTTTACTAGCACTAAACAAATTAGCCTAAACTAACCTCAGCCAACCCTAACACTAACCCTAACGTAGACCGAACACTTAATCAGGTGATGTGATTATCACGAATATATCACGGGGTACTTGTTCTTCGAAATACTTATTTTTGCGAGTGGTACAAACCCAAAAAGGGAATCGCATTTGTAAAATAAACTAAGAAAGTTTAGTGATTAGGACGTTAGGATTAGCATTAGGGTTAGTGTTAGAGTTGTGAGCTTTAGTTATAATATGAGTCTTTTATATGTAAAATTTTATTTTATTAGTTCAACAAGATCGATTTAAATACTAGTTTTTGAGTATTTTCTCTTTTTTGGTTTTTTTTTGTGTTTTTCTTCGCTTTGCTCATGTGTTGGGCTGATCCGGGATTATCACATTTTACATTCTCTAATTAGCTAATTTCCCTTTTTGGATTTGTATTACTTGCACAAATAAGTACATGCCTTGTTCTTCAATTTTCCCAAGACATTTATGCAGTCTAGAAAATTAAAAATAAACTATAAAATCGGTGTCTTGGCTTCAATAAGTGTAGCAAACTTTAAGTATTTATTAGCCTATTTAAATTGTCTTTTACCAAAAGAATTTTATAATTATGATCTTTTTTTACCCATTCTATTAATAGAGATATAAGTCTAGAATCGGTATTAGTGCGCGCAGCTCTCTTATTGGCAACAATATTAACAGATATAATATTAGCAGATTCATTGAGAATAACAAATTCAGCATTGGCAAAATTTGTCGATGGTATTGTTGACAGGTAGGTTCATAATAACATTGGTAGATTTCTTATACTATTCTAACACTTTATGTAATAATAACCAAGATTATGCTATCTCCATCTTTAGCTGATTTTATATGCCATTTAAAAGCTAGAGCTTTATGATATTTAATAGAGCTTTCTATGCTATTATGTACTGTTTAACTATTCAATTTTACTCGCTTGGCTAATCATAATTACTAATGTATCATATACATAGATAGTGATCAAAAATTACTAACCAGTCATGTTTTGACAAACTGGTTTAGTCTGATTGGATAATAGAGTTAAACTTTTTGACTCAACTCTAAATTTATAGTGACAACCAAATTTACTTCTTCTTTTATAAATCTTAGGACACTAAAATTTGTTGATTTCTCAAAACTTCTTCAATCTCATCCTAAGAATCATCTAATTTTTCGTAAACTATGTCACTGTTTCTATTAAAGCTGGTAATAAAGATTTTAAGTATTTTTAAAAATTAAATATATAATTATTTCTAAGATATTTTAGTGAATTCAATAAGAAGTAACTTGGAGCATTATATTTACATAATATGTATTTAATCAACTTTGAACTACTGTATTCAAAAAAAGTAATAAATATTAAAAAGCTTAAAAAATTAGTATATAACCTCTAAATATTAAATGTAATATGTCATCATCTATAAAAATTAAAGTTTGCCATTTTTTACTTGATTAACATATAGAAATTTTTTAGAAGTTATATATTTATTACTATATAAAAGATTTGCTAGGTTAAGTAACTATTAAATATTTAGATATAAACAAGCTTTTTTATAAATCAAGCAATTTCTATATCAAAAAACTTTATTCATTTTATAAAGATACTATATAATTTATTATAAGAGAACTTCTATTTATGCACTTTGTGTACATATATAGTAAGTTGATATTTCAAAACCCCGATTAAAAACTTCTTTTGAGACTCTAATAAAAATTATTTCTTGTGAAATTTTAACATCTCTAACCAAGTTTATTTAAATTATTAGGGTTCCACTCAAGTTTGAATCACTTGCTTGACTATATTTCCATACTGGGGTATCATTTAGGTACAACACCATATGAGAACTACTTAAAGAGAAGACTACACAGTATTTATTATTAGAGTGATTCTTTTTTAATAATAAACATTTGCAAGAACTCTTAGAGAGACTTGCCTTATATTCTAAATTACAGAAGCTAAATATACACTTTATAAAGATCAAGGGTTACTCAGGTAATATATTTAACATCTTACAGATTTGAAAGCAAAGGAAGGTCTTTAGTCAATGGAGTACCTTACCCCAGAACCATTATATACAAAAGGCCACAAAATAAGATACATGTAGGAAGGTGAATTAGTTGAAAAGCCAATCTGTTCTTTTGTTAAAATGCTAGAAAGAGTGTTAATTAAAGCAAAATAGTCATTTGCACATAATATGCATGATGAAACTCATTAAGAAAGAAAGAGTACTCAATCTTAGACCATACTGTGCAATATAATGAGGAGTAGAATCAAACAATGGAATCATACCTTCAAGTCAAATGCACTACAGCTCTTTGAAATAAAGTGTATAAACAACATGCTCCCAGTATTTGAAAAACTTAATCAGAGAAGGCCAGAAACATACAAGATAGATAAATGTATTATATATAAAAAAAAGAAAGAGAATATAGAACACTGGGTGAGTTGCAAGATTTTTTTGAACTTACTCCACAATCTAGAGAAACAAGTAGTAGAAGCAACCCTGTTAGAATAAAAAAGTTAGAAAACCTGAAAAAAACCAAAGAAGAAGTCTTAACAATGCTAGAAAAGAGAACCCAAGCTGAAAAATCACACAGAAGAGAGAGATAGATCAAAGGCCTAATTACAAAAGAAGACTTTGATAAGTTGAGACCCTTTTCAACTCAAATAATCAAGAAAAAAATTTCTAAGAAGACTCTGAAAGAATTGGATAAAGGAGGTTTATGAGAGAATATAGGTTGCAAAATGCAAACTAGTACAGAAATGAGAGAAGAAAAATGGAATCATGCTAGAAGATCTTACGAAAAGGCAAGAAGGAAAAAAAGAAAAAGAAGAAACCATCAAATAGATATACTATTAAAAAAGAAAAGATTAAGATGAGGATAAAAGATGGTTTTTGATTTTAAAGATAACCAAGAAGGAGGTTCTAAGATGAATCAAAGAAGGGCTATGGGCAGATTGGTAGAAAAATAATATATAGTTTTGACAGGCAGTAAGAATGAGCTGTTGATGTATTATTAAAACTAATTGCAGGATAAAATAATACAGAGGCAAATATTACTATAGCAGGTCGCACATGGGTATTCAATAAGCAACTGGGCAAGTCTCCACTTGTAATTTAGGTACTATAGAGTATAACTCTTTAGAAAATTTTAATAGTTTAGATAATTATTACAAAGTCTAATAAAGTGAATACAAGACTGCTGAAATTATAAGAAAAAAAATAAAAAAAGTGTATTAAGTGTTAAATACATAATATAATAATCCTAATTATTAACTTATCAGCATAAGCATAAAATTTCTTTCTACTTATTTGATATTAAGTATATTTAAAAACAATAACTATAACTCTAAAAAGTTCAAGCTGCTATTCATAGTAGCTATATAAGTATTAAGAGACAATTTGTAAATTATTTTTATTTATTTTTTTTTGTCTTTTTGATTGTAAAATAAAAAATAATAGAATAGAAATTTTCTTTTCTGGGTATTGTAAAAATACAACAACCAAAAATGAAGCAATTAAAGAAAATCACATTAAATTTAGCAAAAATTACACAACATATAGCTAGTCATGATGGTTAACCTAAAATTATAAAGTATTAATAAAACTTTTAAATATTTAGGTTGATTATTATTAAAGTTTTATATAATTTAGAATAGTTTATTTATGGTAAAGTTATAAAATATATATTAGTTTAAAAAAAAATTTTTTATATATAATTAAATATGCCTAAATTGCTATATGTTTTTTCTAGATAGTACAAAGAATTTCTTGTTTAGATTGATCAAATCATATGATGTTTATATATAAATTATAACATCATATAATATTGTTAACGTTCTAAATATACAAATTTAAATTATTATTTGCAAATAATAAAAATAAATTTATTTATTATTTGTATTTATAATAGTATTCAAACTTCAGCAACATCAAGATTAATTTGAGTAGAATCTGACTGAGATAAATCTAATTAAGCAAAATAATATTATTTCTAAATAAAATTAATATAGTATAAATTTAATATATTAGTTGAAAATAAATACCTTTAATTGCCTCTGAAATCAATTTTGTACTGATAATTTTGCTAGTATACATTTCATCAGGATGCTTTAGTATCGGCAATGATTTAAAAGCTTTATCTGCTTCTAAAAATTGCTTTTTAATTTCATTATCATCAAGCCAATCACTTATTGTACTCCAAATATTACGAGAACTAGGCCGTTTTTGCGAATCAGAATTCATGCATTTCTCAGCCAATTCAATATAGCATTTAGGGGTTCCAGGTGCAAACTCTGGACGCAATCCTCTACAAATACTAGCTCCAAGTTTAGCATTAAATTTATGACCGTCAAAAGGTCTTTGTCCGGTTGATATTTCTGTCATAATAATACCAAATCCATAAATATCTGCTGCTTGTGTAAAATTCTCGCCTAGTAAAACTTCCGGTGCAACATAAGGCATAACTCCATAAATCTCATCTTCTAAACCTTTTTCATCTTTTTTTCTAGACAATCCTAAATCTGCGATATAAGATTGTATATTTTTATTAGTGGATTGTTCTTGCAAAATGTTGCCACTATGAAAATCAGCATGAACATATTTTGCTATGTGAATAGACCCTAATTCAAATGAAATATCTTTAAGCATTTGCAATTTAGCCTGCCATGTAAGTTTACTAAAATTTCTTCTTAAATATTTATAAAGACTTCCATTATTAGCATACTGAAATACCATCAGAAATTGATTTGTTTCTGGATTTTGAGTTATTCCATAGATTGCGAGCTTACTAGAAGTAAGCTGTAATTTACATTCCATTAGACTTTTAAACTTTAAAGTTTAAGCAATAAGCTAAAGTCAGTTCTATGAAATATTATTACATAGATTAATTATAAAAAAAAGAAAATTAACATACTTCTTTTAAAAAATCAACTTTGATTTCCTCAGAATTGACTAACGTTTTGAGTGCAACGGTGCTGGATGGTTCACGCGATCTCATATATTTTCCATGAAAAAATTTTTTCACGCCTCGCCTAACATCAACTTTTCGTACACCATCCAACCAGGTTGCTGGATATACAAAGCCAAATCCTCCTTTACCGATTTCTTTGACATCAGATAATCTATTAAATGGAATCCATTCAATGGCGTCTTCGTATGTACGGACTCTAAGTTGGAATTCTTTCATGCAATCGTCAACCACTTTATTTTTACTTGTCCACCTTGTTGTTATGTCTGGGTCGTATGATAGACACCATGCTCTGTTGGTGTTATTTTTATTACAATGTGCACATTTTCCATATTCAGAATTTCTATATAATATATAATGTTTATTTCACATCTGCAGCTTTGAACTTTATGCCGGATGTAAGTAATTTTATACTCACCGACTAAATTAATGCAAATGAAATGAATTTAAACATAATGGTAAATAAGTATTTGTTTTCCTGTTTTGAACTTGTTTTGCTGTTTTTATTTCCATTGATTAACAAATGTTCTTTATACTCACCCACTGAATAAGATGATTAATGCGAATGAAATGAATTTAAACGTAATGGTAAATTAGTATTTATGGTTTTGTTTTGTGAACTTGTTTTGCTGGTTTTATTTTTAAAAATTAATAAATGTTCTTTACACTCACATGCTGAGTGAGGTGATTAATGCGAATGAAATGAATTTAAACGTAATGGAAAATAAGTATTAATGTTTTTGTTTTGTGAATTTGTTTTGCTGTTTTTATTTCCATTGATTAATAACAAATGTTCTTTATACTCACAAACTAAATCAATGCGGATGAAATTAATTTAAGCGTAATGGTAAATAAGTATTTATGATCTTATTTTGTGAACTTGTTTTGCTGTTTTTATTTCCATTGATTAATAAATGTTATTTATACTCACGGGCTGAATAAAATGAATTTAAACGTAATAGTAAATAAGCATTTATGATCTTGTTTTGTGAACTTGTTTTGCTGTTTTTATTTCCATTGACTAATAAATGTTCTTTATACTCACGTGCTGAATAAAATGATTAATGCGAATGAAATGAATTTAAACTTAATGGTAAATAAGTATTTATGAACTTGTTTGCTGTTTTTATTTCCATTGATTAATAAATATTCTTTATACTCACACACTAAATTAATGCGAATGAAATGAATTTAAACGTAATGGTAAATAAGTATTTATGTAATAAAATTATTTATTAAATGTTCTTTATACTCACGGGCTAAAATAACAAACAATAAATAAATATTTATGAACTTAAATCGCCGATTTAGAATGATGAACGAATGCACTTTATACTTACTCTCTAATAATTAAAGATTGTGTAAGAAATCTCAATTATAAAATAAAGAAATTACAAAATAATATAATAAAAAAATTTAAAATTAACTTACTTTTCAATCAATTCACAAAATTTAGTATAATTCTCTTCTACGCCAATTCCATAACAGTAACAAATAGCAGTTTTCCAAATTACATTGGAATTACCAGCCTCAGCAGACTTCAGATAATTTGCAAACGCTTTTTGCTTATCGATTTCGACACCAATTCCTAAATTATAACAATAACCAACTTGATACATCCCGTTAGAATTTTTCATGTCTGCCGATTTTTGATAATGTGTGAATGCTTTGTTTTCATCCTTTTCAACTCCAATTCCATATTCGTAACAGTAACCGAGCCTGTAAATTCCGTCTGGATCGTTCTTATCGGCCGATTTTTGACAATCAGAAAAATTCAGTTTGTTGAAACCATCAATCAATTCGGTCAAATTTTCGTTTGACATTTTAAAAAAAGTAGTAGATACATATCACAATTTGACGCTACTATTTTTTTATTTATTTATTTACGTTGTCATACTTAAAATTCACCTCTTTAGGAATTCAAGGGACACGGTGTTATAGTATGACTATGGTGAAATGGATAATTAAGGTTACATCGAATACACGACTTAACAAAGAGGATTTAGAAGGCTTTATCAAAAGAGGCAATAACACGATTGTATATGAGGATACAAGAGGTTAGTATAATTTCAACAATGTATATGCAAGTCACTCAATAAGTTTTTATATGTTTAGCCAATAAAAAACTAACAAATATATATAAAAGAGATAAGAAATGTTATCTATATAGGAGAATTTGAAGATATACAAGAGAAGTCAAAGTCTAATCTAAAGCAAGAGGCCTTAAATACAGGATCCTGTATTATTATACTTCTTTAAATTCAAAAACAATAACTATGCTGATGTGTTAATAAAACAGTAGCAAAATTTAAATAGAAATTTGTAATTTTAGCAACTTTTGTGCATATAATATAATAAAGCAATAAAAAATTTTTTTTTAATATTAAAGATGAGATTATATATTAAACTTAATGAAAACTTTTTATATAATTGGAAAAGGTTTTATATTTTAAGCCTAGTGCTAAGAATAAGAACTCAGACTAATTAAAAATGCCAAATAGACAAGCCTAGCTGTTTATTTGTGGCCTAAACCTACCAGAGTGGCCAAGGCTCATCTAGATTTGAGATAGATTAAAAATATATGAAGAGTATATGCAGTATTGGATCCAGTTAGAATACCAATATGAAAAATGTTTGTGAGATAGTATTAGAAGTAGTTGTTGTAGGAAGCATATTAATTATAGATTTAGATAGTGGAGTTGCTTGTGATTGTATAGATTGAGGTTGAGGTCTAGAAGTATAGTAAGAAATTCATATGTTTGCATATAGTTGTTTATTAATATAAAGAAGTAATTGTATAGTATGTTTAATTTGATGTAGTATATTTTTGAATTGTATATATAATATCCAAAGAATAAGTTCAAAGAGTGTTGAGAAGATTGAAGGTTTGTCAAGAGAGTTGTATGTTTGGAGGCTATCAAGAATAAAGCAATAAAATTAAAACAATTTGCTAATATATATAGTATAAATTAATTTTTTTTGGTTTTATATATAATAACTAAAATAAAAAATTGCTCAATTCTTTATATTTTTTTTATTTTACTATAATCAAATTTTTATTAGTAAAATTAAAAAAATAATAAATTAACTAATTTTATATTACAGTGCTTTAATTATAAAGAAAAGCATAAAACCCAAAGAATTTATACAATATTTATAGTGTTGTAAAGAATTTGATTGTGTATAAATTGTTTCTTTTTTAGCTTAATAAAATTTACTATTGTATAATAAGCAAAAAATTTAAAAGTTATATTAAATTCAATTTTATAAGAATTATTAGATAATTCTAAAAAATTAATTTGTTTATTACTAAAAGAACTATGCTACTTTTTGTGCATCAAAGCATTTTTGAGATAATAATTTTTAGTTATTAGAAATATAATATCAGGTGATATATATATTGCCAG